GCCTCTGCCGGGCTCCGGACCGCGCCGCGGCCTCACAATCCCCTCGCCGGAAGATGTGGCATCCCGCGGCGGGGTGTGTCTTGCCCGGCCGGCCGCCCGCCCGCGAACGAACATCCCCCCCCCCCCCGGGCCGTCTTGTCAACAAGGGCCAAGTGCCGGCGCACATGCCCCGGGCCCCGTGATCCACCGGTCACACCCGGACGCGCGAACACCGACACAAGCGCCCGGGGCCAGAGCCTCCCCACCACCAGCCAACGCAAATGGTGGCCATTGTCCAATGTGCGCGCCGCTGCGGGGCGCCGCGGCGCCCCTCCTGCCCCGCCCAAGCCGGAACGTGAACTGTTTTTCTGCTGCTTTTTTTGTCTTATTTTCGCATGCCGGCTTGATCGGATTCCTTGGCCCTGGCCCGCGCCCCCCCCCCCCCCCCCCCCCGCGAGCTGCGAGAAGATCGCCAGTCCGGAAGGGGGCAGCGCACAGATCTCGCGGCCAGGGGCCCGATCGGGACCTCCGGAGCCGGCGCCGCCGCACGGCCCGCCTCCCTCGATCCTGGGCAGGGGGCAGTGCGCCACTTTGCATGCCCTCCGCCTGGTCCTGCCTGCGGGATATGGGGACAGCCTTTATTTTTTTTTCCTCCCTCCCCTTTCTCCTGGCCTCGCCTCCGATCGGCCAATCGCGCAGGCCATCCGACAGAAGGCCCTCGCGTGGGGGGGAGGGGCGCCCGCGCCCCGCACGGAGGTTGCCTCTGCACGGCCGCCGAGAGGGGGCCAGCTTCGGTAGCAGCCGAACAGGGCTCGGGTTGTTTATATTGCTGCCCTTGGGGCACCTGCTCGCGCGGCAACCACTCACCCAGCCAGCCGGCCAGCCAGCGCCCATATGCCCCTCCGCGAAAAGCAGCAGGAGCAGATCCTGCCGGTGCGGGGCCCTCGGCATGAAGCCCATGGTGAAACCCATCCGGCCGAGGGCAGCCGAGCCGGCTGGCGGTCCCGGACGCCGGTGGCCACTCCAAGCCACTCGACAAGAGGCTGCCGCTGGCCACCCAGCCACCCAGCCAGGCGGATTCTCCGGCCGATCTGGGCCCCGGCGCTAGGCCCGCGCCAGCCGAGCCGGGCACCGCGCGGCCACCGGTCCACGGCAAACTCCGGCCAAGCCTCCCCCCCCCCCCTCTCCGAGGCACAAGCAGGGACAGGGCCGGGGCCACGAGTCGCCCTATCCCAAGACCGACCGCCGCGGCGCACGACTGCGCTGCCAGCTCCTGAGCACACAGCCCGAAACCACTCCAGCTCTGTTCCGCGCCCCCGCAAACCCCACGCCCCACGCCCACGCCCACCTTGCCTCCGGCCAGCCACCCGGAGGCCACTCTTTCGCTTAGCTCCCGCCTCCTCCTCCCCCGCATACACACACCCACACACACATACACACACAGCCCCCGGATACACCATGGGCGTCTTCTCCCTCGTTTCCAAGCCGGTCCCCTGGACCGCCGGTCGCATGACCAAGTGGCTGCTGTCCATCGCCCTGTCCGGCATGGCCATCACCGCCAGCCTGGTGCTCTACCGCGGCCTGGCCATCCACGCCAATGCCCTGGTCACCGCCCCGGCGCCGCTCAACCTCTTCCCGGCGCGCATCCGCACCGCGGCCTCCGACGCCGGGGGCCACCCCCCGGGCCCCTCGGCCGACGCGTGTCTCTGGCGCGGCCGATCGGACAGCGCCTTTCTCTGCGGGGCCCCGCCCGAGTCGGCACTAGGCATAGCCTCGGCCAAGGTCACCCGCGAGATCGACGACATGACCCTCCGCGTGCCGGCGTCCCCCCCGCCCCGGAGGACCTTCGGAGCCGGGGCCTCGACCGCCTCCGCCCCCTCCGCCTCCGCCCCCTCCGCCTCCGCCTCCGCCTCTTCGGCGGAGTCGGCCCCCTCCCATGGCCCAGCCCCCGGGGCTTCGTCGGCCGATTCGGGCCCCACCCCGGCACCGAGCCCCACCCCGCATGCGCCCCAGCCGCAGGAGGGCGACCAGGAGGTCCGCGACCCGAATGGCTGGGCCCCGGCCCCGGCCCCCCATGGCCTGGATTGGCACTACCTCGAAGGCCGGCTGGCCTTCTTCCTGGCCCAGGAGCTGCCCCAGGCCACCACCTGCCACTTTGACCTCGGGCCGCCCGGGCGCATCATGGCCACCCGGCCGCTGCGCGGCCTGGACACCCTGATGATTATGTGGCTGTCCATCGCCGGGGCCGTGGTGGCCATCGCCGGGGTCGGCCTGCGAGGGGTGTGGCTGCGCGATGCCCGCTTCAGCGCGGCGCTCTGGCTGATCCTGCAATCGGCCATGGCCGCCCAGCCGCTGGCCCTGATGCTGGCCGTGGCCCCGGCCACCACCGGTACCCTGGCCTGCTGGCAGTGCGCGTACAATCGCCTCCCAGGCACCCGGTGCACATATGACCCCTGGTCCACCGAGAGCACCGCCGGCCCCGGCATGATCCCCTCCCTGGCCTGGGTCACCCTGCTGGCCGGCCTGGTGGCCGCATTCATGATCCTGGAGCTGGTTCTCCGGGCCCGGCGGCCGCTCCTGCGTGCCGAGGCCCAGCGCCGCCGCGAGCGCGGTCGCACCCTCACCGCGCGCTTCTTCTCCCTCGCGTGGTACCTGGTCACCAGCACCGCCGCCGGGGTCTTGCTCTTCAGCTCCATCATCACCTTCCTGGCCGACGTGGCCTGGGTGTTCGACGGGTTCTACGGCCCGGCGGCCCTCATTTTGGGCGCCGTGTCGCTGATGGTGGTTGTTGGCCTGAGTGTCGTGTCCGCCGCATGGGTGGTTGTCTGCCTGTGGCGAGCCGAGCGCGTCCGAACCAAGAAGGTCTTCCACCCGGACGCCTGACAGTCTGGCGGCCAGACCGGAGTCGCATGCACGGACGCACGCACATATATATATATATATCCATACACGCTGGCTGACATCGCCACCGCCATACCGCCATGGGGACAGTCGCCGCCATGGTGGCCACATCCGCACAAAAATAGACCTGGACAATTGAAGCCCCGCTCACAGGCTCACAGTAGGAAGACATATATTACAGGGGGGGAGGGGGGGAAGAGGGAAACCGCGAACTGAGGAGGGGGTCAGCCAGCGTGTCGGGCCATTTCACGGGTGAGAATGCGGCGCGCAGGAGAGGAAGAGGGGCCGGCCGACACGGGTCCGGCCCTCGCGCGCGAGAGAGAGAGAGGAACCCAACGCACACCACACCAGCCGCGGCAAGGCACAAGCATGCGGCAGCCGGGGCCTACACCGGCGAGCCGCTGCCATGCTGGTCGGCCGCCGAGTTGAAGCTGATGGGCTCGAGCTCGCGCGCGATGCACAGCCGCTCCGCCAGCAGGGTGCACACAACCAAGCCCACCAGGGCCGTGGCCCACCAGAGCCCGGAGATGGGGAAGATGAACAGCGTGTGGCCGATCCCCAACCCGGCCTGCCCGGTCGTCGAGGAGGAGGCCCACGACGACCCGGACGATGTGCCCGGGAGGATGATCTGCCCGGGCGGGCCGCGCAATGGTGTTCCAGGCGGCCCGAGCGCTGATGCCGGGAACAGGAAGCACGCCACCATGTGGATGATGTACATGGTGGCCACGAAATCCAGACAACTCTTGGATCGCTCAACGATCTGAGGGAAGGTGATGGAACTGCGTGTTGGGTGGTGTGGGTGGGAGAGCCCGGGTCAGCACCGAGCGGACGGCTGTATGTGCATATGTGTGTGCGTGTGCATGTGTGTGTGTCTGTTTGTGTCTGTGTGTGTCTGTGTGTGTCTGTGTGTGTCTGTGTGTGTGTGTGCGTGTATATATGCGTGTGGATATGTGTGTGTGCACGCGCGCGTGTGTTTGTGCGTGTATATACGCGTGTGGGTATGTGTGTGATCCTGGCACGCGCACGGGGAGCCGGACAACTGAGACAGACGCAATTACATGCGCACAAGCCAAACGCCGCCTGGCTGCACACAAGCCCCCACAAAGCCACATAGGCACACGGGCACACAGGCACACGGGCACACGGGCACACAGACGCACAGGCACACGGACACATCAAACTAATGGCAGCAGGGTGGAGCAAAGGAGGAGGAGGAGGAGGAGGAGGAGGCAGCGCAGCAACGCACATCAGCGCACACGCCGCCAGCTGGGCGAAGGCCACCAGCCACCCGAGCGGCGAGCTGAAACGCATGACCCGCGAGTCGAAGAGCCAAGCCAACTCCAGGCCAGCGGTCAGGGCTCGGCCCCCGGGGCCCGCCCCGGTGGCCCCGGGAGTGGCGGTGTACCACGGCCCGGCGTGGCTCGGCCCCAGCAGCGACCCATAAACCAATGCCAGCACCGCCACGCACAGGCCGAAGGCCACGTAGAAAACACACTGCAGGGCCACGATCTGCGCCAGAGTCACCAGGGGATCGCGGATGGTCGCGCGAAACTGGTTTTTCGAGGCCGGTGCCCCCCCGGCCGAGGGGGTCGCCGGCCCGGCAGCGCCGGCATCCGCCAACTTGGCGGCCAGGTGCGGCGACATCAGCACATTTACTCGGCCCCGTGCGAAGGAGAAAAAGGCCAGTGCGGTATGGCAAGAGGGGGGGGGGGTCCAGGAGGCGGAGGGGAGCAAGTGGAAGTGGGGGACACCACAAGAGAAGGAGGAAGGGGGGGGGAGAGAGAGAGAGAGAGAGAGACAGAGACAGAGAGTGGAACGGGGGGGGGGGGGGGCTCTCGCGTCGTCTCTCGCGATCTATCCCAATCAGGCTGGCCGAAAAGAAAGAAGAGCCCACCCACACCCGGGCGGAAGACCGTGTACGCGCCGCGCAATCTCGGCCCGACCGACGGAGAGGACGGCAGGCCTGCGGAGATCGGCTCCGACCTCCCCCCCCCCGCCCCCGGGAGTGCTCTCTCCGGGCCGGGCGCAGCCCGAGAAATGGCGGCTGGACGGGGAAGGAGATCGCCGGCACGTCGCGTCGCCGCCTGGTCACATGCGCCTCCGGGGAGGGGTGACCAGCCCCGCCGAGTCACGTCGCCCGTTGGATGGCTTTAGGACCGCGGCCCGAGGAGCGCGCTCGCGCCCCCCCCCCCATGCGTGGATCCTACCCCGGTCGTGGGGGGGGGGGGGGGTGATCGCGCTGGCGCACTAAAACCGGACAGCCCAGGGGGGCGGCGGCGGCGGCGGCGGCGGGCCGGGACACCCACGCGCGCGCCTAGTCCCTTGCTGTGGAGCCCCCTCTGCCCAGCTCCGCGCCTGGGAGCCGGCTGCTGCCTGTGGACGGGGGCGCGGGCCGCTGGGGGCCGGGCCGGGCCGGGCCGGGGGGAACATGCTAGAAGAGAGTTGACGCACGGGCGGCCTGCCCACGTTTTCAGCCTCCGGCTGACCACGCACTTGGGGCTCGCGGGCCCGGGGCGGGGGCGTCTCGTCTGCGCTCTGCGAGAGAGAGAGAGAGCCGGGTCCCCCCTGCGCACGCCGGGGGGATGCTGCTTGGCCAAGGCGCGGGGGCGCGGGCGCACCGGCGTGCGGCCCGCCCCGTCCCGCCCTCCTCCGCCCTTTCGCCCGGCGAAAGAGGCACCACAATGACGGGGGGTCGACGGGGCAGCTGCCGGCTGCACAGGCCCCAGGCCCTGGGCCTCGGACGGGTCCGGCTCGCCCCCATTCCCCCCCCCCCCCGCACCCCCAGATGCTGGGGGCGCCAGGCGCCAGCGATCTATCCGACCGAAAAAACATCCTTTTTTATTGCCGCACACATTTGACGCACCTGAGGGGGGCGAGGCTTCTCGAAGGAGAAGAGGGCCCAACCCCGGGCGGGGCGGGCTCCCCGCGCCATCCCCCCTGCAGGACGCGGGGGGGGGGGGGCGGCGCGCGCGCGGCGGGGGATAGAAACGTGTCGTGTACTTGCACACTGCGCACACACAGGGCGCGAGAGGAGTTCCGAGTGGGGGGCGCGGCACGGGCACACGCCTCCCTGCCCAGGGGCCCGGGGGGGGGCGGGGGGGGGGGGCATCATGCCTGTTTTGGGCCCGCCCGTGGTGCTCCCCAGGGGGCGCGGCGCGGCCCCGAGGCCAGTGATCTCATGCGCCCCTCTCGACTTAGCCGGCGCGCTGTGTTTGCCCGCGGTCGGCGCGCTGTGCGGGCTGGCCCCGTCACACGGCCGATCTCCCCCTCTGCGCCCCC